TTATTAAATAAGACAACCAATTAGAATTGCAGACTTATCAAAGGTTGGAAGTTAATTTCCCAGGCAGTGCAACGCATTTCAAGGTTGTGATCTCACTGGTCTCCTTGTTGGAAATAACATTTGCATGAGTAGCCCATGGTACAGAGCAAGAGGTCTTGAGAACTTGATGAACTTTCCAGAAATGAGACCTGCAGATTCCAGGTTTAATGCTGGACAGTGGCACTGGAAACAAAAAGAAGGCCTGAAATACTGACCCAGTGTGGAAAAGGAAAGCACAGAAAGCTAACTGGACAAATAGCGTTTCGGTCACATAATATTTAGATCTTCCTGGCACAGAGTTGTTTATAGTTATCACTTGGGGCAGAATTTTAAGAAAAGTGCTGACTTACTTGGATTGTTTGTTTGTTTGAATTCCCTATAAACAAAATAAGTAGGAATAGTTGGGAGAAACTCCCAGAAACATTTACTATGCCATTAGAATCATCCTCTCCTAACCTAGGAGACGAAATAACAGTTACACAACAGCAAAGGGTACCAGTTTCCCAGGTAACTAGGTCTGTTCTCCTGAGGCCTCAGTTTCTCAGGTGTTGAGCAAGGGCCCCCTTGGTCCCTTCTGTTGTCCTTATTCCACAGGTGCCTCCTGCTTCTGCCTAGGCTTTGTTTTCCAGTGTAGCTTCTGAAAACAACCTGCACTACAACGAGTCTCATTCTCTGAGGACCAAGGAGCTGGGACATTTGAGTGGAGTGATGCTGGGAGCAGCTGCTCTGCACCTGTGGACCCATGCACGCACCTGTGGGCCTGAACATGCACCTGGGAGTATCTTAAGAGCCCAGTGGTGGCCCTCATGGAAGCCTTCTGACATTTTTCTGTCCCACTCCTAGAAGGATGTGGAGAAATGTCTGTGTCAAAGCTCTGAACAAGAAATCAGTTTCTGTGGGGGAGGTGGCCTTAGGCATGAGGCCACTGGGCTGGAGGGGATGGCTGCATGTAGTTGAGTGGAGAGACTCAGGAGGACGTTTTCTCTTCCTTGGGCATCGGGGGGCAGCATCCCCTAACTCCAGGGTTAGCTGAGTCCCCAGTATTTCACGTGCAAAGAGCCTGAATCACTTTACAAAGGCAAAGTATGACTATTTCTACTTGGGAAATTCTCCAAATTACTAAATAAACAGCAAGTACTTAAAAGATGTTGTAGAGAGTGTTTTGTTGTTATTTAAGTCTAGAAAGAACTTTTGTGAGTGAATGCCTTGGTTTTTCCTATTTTCAGATTTTTATTTGAAAAAGAGTATTCCCTGCATTGCAATAGAGGGAAAAAGGAAGGAAGAAAAGGGGACATTTTTCTTGAGGCAGATGAAAGACAGGGTGGCTTGCAGAGGTTAGAACAGTAAGTTGTGGGCCGTCTCCTGGTGTTGACGAGGTGCCCAGATGAAACACCTGGCTGTGGGCTGACAGGCATCGCAGTGTGGAGCCAGCCCTGGTGGAGGAGCCCTACTTCCTGTTCACTCTCCCTCTGAGGAAGCCGGCCCTAGTCACATGTTTGCATCTGGCTCCCCCATGCTGAGGCTGCCCCGTCGCCAGCTTCTGTCCTTGTGTCCATGTCCGTCCTCACACTGCTCCGTGCTCACTGCTGGCTCCATGCTCACTGCTGGCTCCATGCTCAGACTCCTCTCTGACTTGCAGGGTACGTCTGTGAACGGAAGGATCTGCTGACCAACGGCTGCTGCGATGTCAGCGTCCCCAGCACAAAGCAG